ACAGAGTTTTTCTAGTTAACTCTCCAGTGACATACCAGAGGGCATATTTTTATCATTAATTTGCTCATTTGGCTTATTGGGGGACTTTTGGGAACTATGTTACAGTTCAGATTTTACTTGCCACAGCAAAACATGGTGATATATCAGGCTCATAGTCTACATCACCCTTATAAAGCCAATGATCTTTAAAGACAAAGTCAGTAAGCTATAGCTATAATCTATGGGTTGGCATAGCCCTATTTTTTTCTAACAAGTTTTATGATGGAGCCACACAGAAGATGTTCAGTGTGCAGGTTTTTATATTACACTATACACTGTCTTCAGAGAAACAGCAGTTAGAATTTTTGCAGAGTACCTGTCTTCACCTCACTTGTTGTTGCTTGTTATGTATAAGTGTATGATGCTAATTTACTTTGGTGCTTTGTTTCTGCATGATTATAAAAGACTTAAGATGTCCAGAAACATCATTGTTTCCAAATTTCACCTAGAGGTATCTTTATACTACAACTTCTAAAATGAAAAACAGAGCTGCTCACATGTTCACTATGCACTTTTATTTTAAATTCTAGCACAACAAACACAATGACATGAGAGGATCATTACCTCAATAATACGGATAACATTCCTTGACAAGTTGGCTTATAATTTACATACATTGCTTTTATCGGGAGCTATTTTAAGTATTATCTTAAGATATATTGTAAAACACAAGTCTCAAATATATACCAGTTGCAAACATAATGTGCTTAGTTACTATTTTCCTTATTATTTAAATAAAATGATTTAAAGTTCCTCAAAATCATGCCCACTGGTGTTCATGGTTTCAGGATGCATGACTCGTCCCATGAATAGGATTGTACCTGCATTGGGTTGGGAATAAACAAAAGAGGAGTTGAACAAAAGATATTTATTTTCCTTCTTGCTTACAATTAGCAATGTTCTAATTGTACACTATAAATGAAAGCAAGAATACTGGTCTCCAATAACCTCAGATTTATGAATAAACTATAAGTTTTCTGAATATACAAGCAGTAAAAGATTCAGTGATAAGTATTGTGTCCTTGGATACTCATAAATTCTAAAGATAAAAATGTAAGTAAATTATTTTCATTTAAAAAATCATTTGAACACATCTGATAAGTAATGCGGAAAATGTTTTCAATTAAAAAAATGATTTCTTTTTGGCTTATTAAAGTTCTGTTCTCATAACAGACTTACCTGTTCTCCTGTTCCTAATAAGAAAGAAAAATGGATGGTCGACAATAACTTGAGGATACAGCACAGCCATCCTGCTAATTGCAATCATTCCTGTAACGCAGAGAGAAAGTAATTACATGTCTGTGGATGTGCGGGGACTAATGAGTAATTTCTCCAAACTATCTATATTTAATGCAAAGGTAATGATTTACACGAAACAAGATTTTAAAGACTTAGAGAAAAATTGTAAATGTGTTAACATTTCTACTTGATCTTAAAAAAAATCAAATACACACACACACAGAGTTCCCTCCCTATAGAACAATTTATTTTGCATGTTACAAATTTTTATTCTCAGATAAATACTTACAGCTTTACTAAAATGACCTTTGAGTCAAGGAAAGGGGGAAAAAAACCACCACAAACAAGCAAAAATCAGTTTCTTTATATTCTCAAATCATTATTTCTTTTACATGAAACGGGGATTTTTACATAGCAAGTCACCAGGCTTCTAGCAAGTGACCAGAACAGCAGTGATTAAAGAGAAAATACAGCAGGGAGAGATGCAGTGGTGTTTCCTACAGCTGGGAAATTGAATTCCCTTGAGATCCTTATTGTGGGATAATCATTTTATACTTTCTGCAGGGTGATTTGTTGTCAGGAAAAGGCCAAGATTAAATTATGTAAGATTTTAAGCTTTCTCGATGCCTGAGACTACTGTTTCTATTTCCTCCCGAAAACACCATTTTAACTGATGAGATCCTTTTAATGGACAAATGTATGCAGAAGTTAAAAAGAATTTGCGCAAATATGATATGTTACATTTTACCGGAGAGAAGGGAAAAATCCTACCAAAATTTCATGATGGCTGTTGAACATGATATTGAAACAAATCCAAAGAAACGAATGAAAAAAAAAAGAAAAATCCTTCTTGCTTAACTAAGGAAGTCAGAACATTCAAATTAACCAAGGACATTTACCATTTTGCTTTGGACACGTAATTTAGGTAAATTTAAAAACTTTTTTTATTTAAAATTATTATTATTAACTTAAAATTATGCACTGCATGCTATCATGCACTCTTGTTTGTGCATGTGCTTTTTAAAAACTCAAAGCTCTTCACTGACAAAATTAAGAACTAACTTCCAAAAATAATTAAGTAGAAAGAAAAATGATTAACTGGGCAGCAGGGAAATATTTAAAATATTTAAACAGGCAGCACAGCAGGAAAATCTATTCTGCAGAGCTGACAATCTTCTCCTGCCTCTCATTAGAGATGGGGGTTACTCTGTATGGGGCACTGAAATGAGTGCATGCTTCATATCCTATTTGGAAAATTCTAGCAGGTTCATCATTAGCTTGACTTCTAAGTTAGAGCAGGGTCAGTTTTTTTGGCTTAGTTCTAAATGATCCCCATTCCCCACCCAAGATTGCTTTAAAAATACAAATCTCAAAAAAGTGAGAAGATTTTGGAAAACAATAATTTGGCACCTGAAGCAGCAGCAGCTTCTGAGCCGTCTTCATTAACCTCTATGAAGGACTTGTGAATTGCTTTAGAAAGGAAAATCTCTTTGTTATCTGCAAAAAAAGAGATAACAGAAGCATTTTTTCGGTATCAGAGAAAGGGAAGCACTTTTTCTTTAGTTAAACAGATTTGAGAAATGTAAGTGATATAAGATACTGATATAAAACATAAGAGATAATGTTGTTAGATTACATTTATGATTTGAAAGAACCATTGAAGATGTATTTTCTGTTTTGTCCTTATTTTATATTCTCTTGTTGATTTTCTCCTTCATTTTTATTGGTAATTTTCCCATCGTTTATTTCTTATATTGCCAGGAAAAGCAGAAACGTGGCTCTGTTTTTAATAGCAACCTCAAATTCATAACTCAAGATAAAACTTCTTACATGTTTCTCCCTTACTTGAAATTTCAAAATATAAAATGAAAACAGAAATTCACATATAACCAGAATAAAAAGTTTTTTAAAATCTAATCTCTAATTACTGTGATAATAGAAATATCCTTGGCAAAGGAAAACAAAATTGACTTCTAGGTTGTAGAAACAGGAATATATTAAAAAGTTATTTCCCATTCCAATTAATTGGTTTATCTGAGGATTCAAAAACATGCTTTATCCTAAAGTCAGAGGAAATAACACACTTTTAATATTAGGAGGACTGTTTTTCCCTTTGAATTGTCTTTCTAGTTATGCTTACTATTAAATTAATGGCTGTTATAGGCTGAATTTGTTCTCTAAAATTCATATGTGGAAGCGCTCACCCCCAAGATTTCAGAATGTGACTGCATTTGGAGATAGTCTTAAATTTAAATGAGTCATTCGGGTGGGCCCTAATCCAGTATGACTGGTTTCTTTACAAGAAGAGGAAACTTAGACACAGACAGGTACAGAGGGAAGACCATGCATGATGGTTAATTTTACGTGTCAGCTTGGCTTGGCCACAGTGCCCAGATAATTGGTCAAACATTATTCTGGACGTTTCTGCAAAGATGTTTTCTGGATGAGATTAACATTAAAGTTGGTGGACTTTGAGTAAAGCAGATTACTCTCATCATGTGGGTGGGCTTCATCCAATCAGATGAAGATTTTAATAGAACAAAGACTAGCTTCCTCTGAGCGAGAAGGAATTTTGCCAGCCTTCAGACTCCTCCCTGTGTCTCTGGCCTGCTGACCTACCCTGCAGACTTTATATTTCCAAAGTCTACACAATTGTGCAAGCCAATTCCTTAAAATAAATCTCTTAATCGCTCTCTCTCTCTCTCTCTCTCTCTCTCTACATATATATAGACACGCAAATGCAACCTCTCTCCATATATATATATGTATATCCATTCATCCTGTTGGTTCTGTTTATCTGTAAAACCCTGACTAATACAACATGGGAAGACATAGGGAGAAAATGGCAATCTATAAGCCAAGAAGAGAGGTCTCATAAGAAATCCACCCTGAAGACAGCTTAATCTTGGACTTCCAGCCTCCAGAACTGTGACAAAATAAATGTCTGTTATTTAAGCCACTCAGTCTGTGGTGCCTTGTTACGGCAGCCCTAGCAAAGCATACAGTACAATAGCCTTCAGTCTTGGGTTTCCCACTTTTCCCCAAGATTAAAACAAAACAAACAGAAGATACTTCAAATATATAAAAAGGAAAATAGCACAAGAAGCAAGATAAAGGATTACTCAAGTTTGTACCGTTTTTCTTTTTTTCTAATCCCAGGAGGTCTACTTCAAATTTAAGATAAATAACTTTGTTGCTCATGCCCAGCCCTATTTAGTAAAAGCACAATTGACTTCCCACTAAACTACTTAGTAATACTTTCAAAGACACATGATTATCTGATACCGATAGAAAACGATGTTCAACAACATTTTTGGTACACCTGTTGCAAAGCACCTGCTTATTTTGAATAAGCCCCAAGACAAACTGGTGGCATCTCTGATTATATTTTAATAGGGATACTCCTTCCTCAGCTCATATTCAGCATTAAGATAGAAGCACTGCATTATGAAATTGTCCATCTCACATACTATGATATTTTCTTCTAGAATGCATTTGATAACCAGAAGAAAAATTAAAAGCAATAAAGTTTTACATCAAACAATTAAGTATAATTAGCTTTCTCAAATCCAGATGACTAGGTTTTTTCAGCAAATGAAAAGAAAAAATATCAATTGCATTAAGTAACTAGTCAAACTAATTTAGTAGGCAAAACAAACACTGAATTCCAAGACAGTAAAACGTAACTATTTAGTAGTTAACAGATGCTATATTATTTTCAGATTCTGCTGCCCATTTTCATCCGTCTGCCAGTTAAGGTAGAGTCATGCATCAATGGCCCTAAATGCGAAAGTGACAGCACCCAGTTCCTAAAGGATAAGGAGTGTCCACATTGCCAGGTAAGCCCTGTTCAGCAATTTGAGGGGAGGAACTTCCCTGGTGGTGCAGTGGTTAAGAATCCGCCTGCCAACGCAGGAGACACGGATTCAATCCCTGGTCCAGGAAGATCCTACATGCCACAGAGCAACTAAGCCCGTGAACCACAACTCCTGAGCCCGCGTGCCACAACTACTGAAGCCCGCACGGCTAGAGCCCATGCTCCGCAACAAGAGAAGCCACCGCAATGAGAAGCCCGCGTGCAGCAACAAAGACCCAATGCAGCCAAAAATAAATAAATTTATTAAAAGAAAAAGAAATTTGAGGGGAGTTTTCAGTAACACCGAATGATATTTCAGACACATTAATTTGCACAAAGGAAACTGCCTCCAATATCCCCTGAGCCTGATTTGCTGACTGTACCAAGCACCTTCAAAGAAGGAATCTCCTCCCTTCAACCCTGGCGTCTGCCCCAGGTATACCCTCCTCTAGACCCCAAACCTCTCATGTGCTCTCATTTACCTCCACAGAACGGTTTTGAGGGGAGGGATGCTGCAAGACATCATGGCAGAAAGATCAAGAAAGCAAGAATGCCGAGGGTTCTTCCCAGAGAGCTAGTTATTTAAAAGATAATGAAATGGACAAACCTATAATGAGATTCACAAAGAAGAAAGAGAAATTACCCAAGTAAACAATATTAAGACAAAAAAGCAGAACATACCTAAAGATAACAGAAGAGAACTTTTAAAAATCACAAAAAATACTATATAATTTTCTGCAGATAATGTTAACTTTAAAGGGTATACTTTATTTACTACGCATTGTATCTATTTATAATACACAATTTGGTAAATTTTGATAGATGTATATTATCTATGACCCCACCTCTACAAATAAGATAAAGAATATTTCCAACTCTCCCCACAAGTTTCTTATGCTTCTTTATGCAGATAACTTTGAAATAGAAGATTTGCCATCAACTACAACTTTATAAAAATATATAAATTATAAAGTTGAATCAAGGAAAAAAATAGAATGAATAGCCCAGTAACCATTAAAGTAGTTGAATCAGTAGACAGAATCTTCCCCTATCCTCAAAATTAAAGACTCCACGCCTACATGGTTTTCTAGGGAACTTTAACCAAACCTTCTAGCAACAGAATTTTCTGAGATAAAACTATTCCAGACTCTAGAAAGAGAATAAAATCAATCTAAGTCACCTCTGGGTCATCTTACTTGCTATTAAAATTTAAAAAGGACTGTCTAAGAAAAGAAAATCATAGACCAAACTCACCTATTAATATGGAGGTAAAAGTTCTTCGAAATCAGAAAATTAAACCCAGCAACACATACAAACAACTTTTTAAAATGAGTTTCTGGGGATGTCAGTGTATCAATGACACAGCAGTTAAAACTACTCTAACTGCCTCCCGTTCACATTAAAGCTTCCTCTGGGATGATCATCAAATACAAACCAATTCATACTACTCCCCTACTTAAAACCCTTTATCACCTCTCCTGCTAGCTCTACCTCCCATCTCCCCCTCAGTATATAACACACTGCACACCTGCTCAGTATGTAATATGAGGGCCTCCGTGAGGTTGCCTCTGCCTCTTCCAAATAGCCTTCTTCACTCTACACACTGTGCTCCAGATTATTTGAATGGCAATGGCCTGATCATAGCACACTTTATCACTTCTGTGTCTTTGCTTCCCCAGAAACTCACTGAACCCTTGTACAGTGAGACACCTAATCTACTTTTAAGGCTCAGCTTCAAACCCTCCCAGGACTTTTCTGCTCTCTCCCGATTCCCACCCACCCCCCACTAAAGTAGAACTGACCACTCTTTCCCACTGAACCCAGGATCTAATTCTATTTAAGCCTTCATAATATATCACATTCACATTGCTATCTCTCTCTTCCTGGACTGTCCACTTCCTTCAGGCAAGGATTGTGTCCTTCCCCTTAGTGCCCCTGGCTTCTGGCATTTAGGGAGCTTAATGAATGAACTAACCTAAGTAGAGGGAGTTTGCTGGTAATGTGTAATTTTCCAGTAGTTAACCCAACATTTAGTAACTGTTGAATGAAAGGTGTTAGTTATTTCATATTGTAAGACTTTGGGTGCTGTCACTCTGTGGGCACCACGACCACAATTCTGTTCACAATTATGGCTATAAAGTTTATTCTTGTAATAAATAAAACATGTGACACTAATCCAAAGTAGATGGTCTAGGAAAATGGATGGAAAACAGCCCCAGAGAGAGAAAGAATACAAAGACCACACACACACTAGAAAACTTAAAAATCTAATTGAGTAGAAGAGCAAAGGGAATGGGATCTAACAGACCACTGTCATCATATATATTTCAAAGACAGCAAAATAAAGATTGAATCCAATGTTCCAACTCCTGGGGGTGACTAACTGCCACACCAAGGACGGCAAATGTCTCCAGTTGTAAACAAGACTTCACAACACTTAACCTTCAGCAAAACACCACCCCTTTGGATGTACAAGTAGGAGAAAATGTAACAAGTAAGAACTCACATCATGAACACTGAGGGAACAAAAGAAAATGAAACTTTTTTTCTCTAGGCACAAACTTCAAGCTGTCACATTAAAATAAAATATAAGCTGAAAGTAGTTTAAGTAAGAATGTGTCTGCTGCCACATCTTAGAAGGAGATCAGATCATACAGGAATACAGGCAAGTTCATAGCTTCTATGTTTGGTCTCCAGTATTGCTCATTCTTGTGTAATTATATGTCAATCAAGGCCATCTTTCCTGCCATGCACTTATTCCCTGAGGGCCTGGACCCTCCTGTCCTATTTATCTCCTCTCCCTATCCCCAGTTCCTTGCACACTTCCAGCCACCAAGAACGCACTCAGGTATTCAAGGAATCATAATATGAGGGGAGTTAAAGAGATTTACACTGGTGAGTTTGTCTTATTTGTTAGAGAAAAGTTAACTATTCTCTAAAAATGGAAATAAATAAATCAATGGCAAACAGAACTACCAAAAAAAAAAAAAAAACCCACACACTGGTCCCAAGCAGTCTTCTTCTTCTGGCCACAGCAGACATTGCTGCCAAATAACCGGTCCTACTTTGCTCCAGGCAGCGTGGAGCAAGGCTTTTTACAATGGATAAGATGGAAACAGTGCCAGCAAACCCTAGGTTCCCCAGAGAAGAGCTGGGCAGTAATTTAAGCTCTTCTGAAAAAAGCAAGGCCAAATACTAAGGCATTCATTCAGTCACTGAGCAAATATTTATCAAGTACCCTGCTCATATGAGGTATCGTGCAGGGCACCAAAGGCTCTAAGTACCTGTGATTGACATAACGCTGGCCAGATGGCCATCATGCAAGAGTGTGCCACTACTTCCTTTGTGGCACTGTTCCTAATCAGCCAATTTTAATGGATTTCTGCATCACCAAGGACATGCTTAAAATGACAGAATGAACGGAGTTCCATAACAGAACCCTAGGATACCAAAAATGTCTCTGTCTCTGTACTTTAGCTTCTCAGGGATGCTGACATTTGGACTGGTTCTTGAAGAATAAGTGGAAGAGTGAAAGTCAGAGAAGGGGACAAGGGCATTCCAAACAGAGAATTATATCTGCAAAGTGAGAGAAGCAGCGGTGAGGACCTGAAGGTCCAACTGAAGCTGGGGCTAGAAGGAGGAAGGGAGTGGTGAGGGATGTGCTTGATTTTAAGAGCTTGGACCATGATGCTAGAGAGCCCGGGCTTTGGCCAGAAGTAACAGGACATGACGGCTTTGATTTTAGAAGATATCAGTGGCAGCAGTTGTAAAGCGTGAATTGGATGAGCAATCAGCTGGGGGCAAGAAGATCAACTGTGTCAGCTGTTGCAACAGTCCAAGCAAGAAAGTGGGGTAGAACTGGAATTATGGTGCTGGAAGAGAAAGACAGCTCTCTGACTTACAGGTAGAAGGAGAAAGAGAACAAACAAGGGCAGGATGTAAGAGTCAGTCCAGCATAAATCTAAGCGCTTGAGTCTGACCTGAATATGGCTTTTGCTGTGTCTTCTTAATTCCTTTATTTCATTGGCTCCTTTATTAAAGCTCATACTTCGTGCTGAAGGATTTAGTACTGTCTTTCTCTTTCCCCTTACACCTTCCAAGAGGATTATCTATTAATCCAAATGCTGATGGTCCTTCATTTCCCTTACAAAAATAGCCCTACTCTATAACAGGATCTTCGCTGCAACTAGATGAGCATTTTAAATAGAGCCTGAGAAGAAAATGATTCTCAGCACTCTCTAGATTCCATGTTTATCGCATGAGTCTTTACTATGTTTTATGTTCATGGAATTTAGCGTCAAAAGCAATGGACATCAAAGTGAGGTGAAAAAATAAACACAATAAATACAGAGCATCTCATCTTATTTGTTCCTTCATTCAGGGAGTACGAAGCAGAAAGCACAGTGCTGGGTGCTTCTTAAGCACACATAAGGATCAATTATGTGGAAGTTTAAATTCTGGTGGGAGATATCCAATGCATAAATAATGATAATATGAAATTAAATGTGGTATGTGGCATAAGAAAAATAATAGAATATTGTAGTATTTAAAAAGGAGTGATTACTTCTCGTTGGTGTAACCATGGTGGCTTAATAAAGTTGGAGATATTTGACCTGAGGCTCAGTTCAAAAGGTATTTCAGGTGGGAGAAATTTCATAAAGATGAGGGCTGGGGGGATGTGAGGTGCAGAGCGAATGTTCAGTTTGGCTGGAGCACACGCTGTGTGGAAGGAATCAGCCAGAGATGAGGCTGGACGGAGCTGAGGTCTGAATGCCCGGCCGAGCGGTGCACGGTGCACAGCAGACCGAAGGGAGGCTCTGAACAGGAGCTGGAATGATCAGAGAGTGAGTTTTAAGGTGATTAATCTTGGCAGTGGTAGATAAGACAGATTAGATGGTAGAGAGATTGGAAACCGTTTAGGAGGCTAAACCGTTTAGGGCAGCAGTAATGAGAGTCTGAAATGAAAGTAGACGCCATGGAACAGAAAATGAAAGCATGGATTCAAGAGGTCTTAGCAAAAGACTCTCAAGTCATTCAGTTTTTCCAGAAGCAAGAGAATGTCATGTAGGGTATTTTTGGTCCACTGCTAAATCACATTAACTATTTTTAAAGAAAGATAAAAATCTCATTACATGATTTTAGAATGTAGTAGTGTCCCAATAGTACTGAATTGGTTTCTGGGTACATTCGAGTTTTCAAATTCTACTAATAATGTTATTTTTAAAAGATTTCCCCAGTTTTTACATAAGGCTTTTAATTAAAGAAGTAATACATACACAAGGTAAATTTCCAAACAGTACACAGTGGTCTATGAAACGAACCCCCTTCTCTCATCTAAGAGCCTCTGTCCAGTATTCTTGAGGCAACCACTTCTATCATTTTCTAAGATGTTGTTCAAAAATTTTCTACGCATTTAGAAGCTTAAATACATACTTATGAGGGGGGTGATCTAAGATGGTGGTGTACAAAGATCCTGAGCTCACCTCCTCCCACAGACACACCAAATCTAAAGCTACATATGGAACGAGTGTTGAAAAAGAACTAGTAATTAGCTGACCAACTGGAGGCACAACAAAGGATAAAAGGGCCTCATGGTAGGAGATGCAGAGGGTCAGTCCCACCAAAAACTCCATGCCTCTGTGCAGAGACCTCCAACAGGGAGGGATCTCATAGGTCCAGAGCTACACCCTGAGGAGCAAGGTATTTGTGCCCCACGTTGGGCACCCCAACCCTAGGGACCTGCACTGACACGAGGTCCTCAAAACATCTGGCTTTGGAAACCTAAGGGGCTTATGTCCAGGGCACCCAGGGCGGTGTAGAGACCTGAGATACTCCTTTGAAAGGACTTGCACACTGTCTCACCCATCCCAGGACCCAGTACAAAGGCAGCAGTTAGAGAAGTGCCTGGACTATATGTGAAGGAGGTTCATTTGCTAATCTTAAAGCATCTGCTGGAGGGGCAGGGACAAGTTGGGACTTTCTTTGGGGACAGAGGCATGGGTGAGCACCGTTTTTGCACTCTCCCTATACCTTGCTAGTGCATGTGGGCACACACAAGCATAGCCTTGCTATAGCCTTGGGTGTGCCCCATTCCCAGCGCTCTTGCTCTCCCTCGCTAGAGGCAAGGGTGTGCCCTTCCCCCAATGCTCTTCCCTGCTGGGGGTGAGCACAGTCCACACAGGGGGCGCCCCTTGATTGTCTGGCCCTGGTGGCCAGAGGGGCTTGCATTTCTGGGCCCCAAAGGACTGTGACAATCAGAGAAACAGTTCTGTGCAGGCTATCACCCCCCGGGGCACTGCACAGACAGCAGACTAAAACCATCCCCAGTCTTCCTGTGAAAAAGGTCCATTTCCTTGTCTTGGAGCTGCAACCTGAGGGACAGGCTACAGGTTTGTTACACCTCTAGGGGCTACAGAGGAGCTCGCAGGGAACGTAGGCAGGGAGATACCATCCTTCAGCCCTCCCTTGGCCTCGCCACAACTTACTGGTACCTCCCCAGAGTTTATTCATTCATGTGAAACCCGGATTTTTGCAAACTGTCACGCAGGAACATGTTCAGATCTGGTCTGGAAGTCAGCAGGGCTTATAATTGTGGACCCACAGGGCTGCATGGATTTGCATACTTTAAAAGCTGCTGCCTGAAGAGCTGGCTTCTAATCAGCCTAAAACCAGGTGCTGACTGAGATCCCTCTTATTGGAACACTGCTGGGTCTTCACACACTGTCCACAACTGGGATTTATCAAGTATTAACCAGGCTACTTAGACAATCACAAGGGTTCAGGAGTCAACCAAGAGCTGGGGAAAGGTTGAACAATAAGGTTCATCTCCTACACGTGGTCACTTCATCAAGACTGGGAGAGGCACCTGTTTTGCTTAATTCATAGAAACAAACACAGAGAGTCAAGCAGAATGAGGGAACAGAGGAGTGTATTCCAAATGAAAGAACAAGACAAAACCCCAGAAAAAGACCCATTAAAATGGAGATACAGAGAATAGATTGGTGGTTACCAGAGGAGAAGGTTACCAGAGGAAGGGGGTGGGCAAAATTGGTGAAGTAGGTCAATTGTACAGTGACAGACGGTAACTAGACTTAACAGTGGTGATCACTTTGTAGTGCATACAAATAGCAAATTGTGTTGTACACCTGAAACTTATGTAATGTTAGCTACCAATTTTACCTCAATATGAAAATAGAAAGAAGAAAAATACATATAGTCTCTTCCTCCATCTTTTGACCCAATATGCTCCCTCCCATTCTCCCCTTTGATTTTTTTCCTTTCTGCTTCCGTAATGCTTTCTCTAGTACAGAGTTTCTCAACTCATTGCTCTAGAAATTTTGGGCTGGATAATTCTTTGTCATGGAAGCTGTCTTGTGCAGTGTAGATAGATCACAGGGATGTAGAAGCATCCCTGGCCTCCACCCAGTAGATGGCAGTAGCTCTCCCTAATTGTGACAACCAAAAAGGTCTCCAGCTATTGTCAAATGTTCCCTGAAGGGCAATATTGTCCTGGTTAAGAACCACTACTGCAATAATACATTTCTATCACTCTTCCTTTTATTAAATCCAGCTGTTTATGTCTTTCTCCCCACGAGTCTATGTGCTTCTTCAGAACAGGTAGGATATCTTAATTATTTCTTCATTTTTATGACCTAGTACTTTGCGCACACTATCCGCCTCACAAAGAGTTGTTAAATGAAAGGAATAGACATGGCAGTGAATAGAATTAATCTGTATATCCTAAACACCATGAAAATTCTCACTAAAGTAGAAAGTAATAACCAAATACATGCTAATAATTTTCCTGGGTACTTGTGGGGTTACTGAGTGTCATAAACACTTTAATCATCAAGGTTTTCATGTAATTTGGGGAGGCAAAGAAGTATATATGTGAACAGGACACCAATCATGTAAGGCAGAGCATATGGTGCCCCAAAATGATGCAGGGAATAAAGGCTATTGAATTTAGAGGAAGCAGAGAGGAAAATTTTATAGCTGTGTCACTAGAAAGTTCTTGAATGAATGATTCATAAAGTAATGTATATATTTGTGTATATGTGCGTGTGTGAGTGAAAGAGAGAGAGAGAAAGAGAATGAAGACTGTATCGGTTGAGGTAGCTGGCATGCCGGGACTTCTAAGACTGTGGCAAAACTAGAAATTTAAGAATCAAAGAATTCCCACTGAAAACTTGAGAAGCTGGTTTTAGATCAGTTATCCTGAAGACCTGAACTGGGTAGTGTTTGAGGATGACCAGGTACTGGGAATGCAGCTGTGAGCAAGATGCTGAGAAGGATTCAGTTCTGATGGAGGTTTGATCAAAGAGCAAAGACTTTCTGCTATAGACTCTATGAACTCTGAAAGAGCCTAGTGTGATTTCAAATCTGCACTCATATGTACATTTATGCTCTACTCTCTCTGTACATAGTAAAAGCAATTAAATATTACCTTATAAACCTTCCAGATATGTCAAAAACGTTGACCTACACTGACCACAATAATTGATTTGCCACTGCAGTGATACTCCTTCAGGACTGAAAAGCAGTAAATATTCTATGTGTGTGAGATAACTGCCTAAATGTTTGGGTGACACACTGAGGAATCTCTAATCAAACTGAAAATAGAGCCATGGTAAGAAAGCAAAATATAATTATTTAGTTGGAATTTGGCCAATATAGCATTCTTTGAATTCCTAAGGAAAGGAGTATAAGAATTTTAAATTATCCTGTGCTTGAACCACAAATATATATATATTTCTGCCTCAAGTACAATGTACCCATTACCCTTTGAATCTCCACTTATTCTACCTTCATGGCTCACATCCAAGCTCCTAGGGCTCTGAACTCTTGTTTTATCTTGATATCAATCTGTCTTTATCTCATCAGAAAACATACTGTTTCATTTCCCATGTTCTATAGAAATGATGAAAATTATCATTAGCTAAGCTAACTAAATCTTACACTCACAGGTACCTTAATTCAATACGTGTCTTGGGATTAGCTGCTTTAAAAATATTTCCAAAAGGATTTTACATTTCTAAGGACTTTAATGTTCCTAATATGTTAAGATTTTTATCCTGACCAAATTAGGGCATCTGAATCAAATAATTTAACTGGTTGTTTTCCCTTGGGATATTTTAAATAAATTACTCAACACCCAATATGTCAAGTACCTTTTGAAGCTACTTCTTCAAAACCACTGTTTTTTATTGAAGACTTAAGATAATATTTACATCATCTCACAGGTGTTCTTTTTAAAAGCATCTAGTTCTCACAGCAGGCACTCATTTATCCTCTCTTCCTTCTTTCTTTCCCATATGATTTATTATATCCGGACATATTGAGATATTCAATCAACACATTTATTGATTATCTGCTCTACAAGGCATTCTGTCAGATGTGATGGGGAATTCAAAGATGCATAAGACAGGTCTTCTGGAGAATATAATCTGCTATCAAAGGTAGACATGGAGCAGAATAATACAAACAATGCTGTGACTGTATGTATAGTTTTGCTTGTAGAAGTTAAATATATTTCTTATATTTATCTGGCAACTGATTACTATATTTTACCTCAGAACTCCTTAATAAATAGAGGTTTCACCACCATCATTTTAAAAAAACTTTATGGAATAACATTTTTTTAAAATTGGTGTTTATTTCCTACCAGACAAGGCTGTCAAATTTGCATTTTTGATGAAAACTTCAGTTATTCCAAGAGCCTTCAGAACATGTTTTAAATCAATTTCCTGTTCCACTGTGAACCTGGAGAACACAGAGGGGAAAAAGTATTTAGTTACAGCATTTTAAAAGTATTTAGTTACAGCCTTTAAAAAGTATTTAGTTACAGCATCCTGCTACCTGGGACAGGAATAAAATGTTAGATATGTTGATTTTTAAAAGTCTGTTTTATAGAGGGTAAATTATACTAAAACTGGATTTTAACTATAAGTAGTATTTGATTGTTATTGTAAAAAAAGGGAGCATCGAAAAGAATAACGTAACAGAATAGTATTAAATTGTTAAGTAGGAAGCCAGATTGGTC